GGGATGTAATATCTTCAAAATCTTTGCAATTTTGATGGAGAAATATAAAGAAATTTGCTGGAGTATGAAGGATGAATAAAGTAACCTTGGGAGTCTCTTGAGTTTAGAGAGGGAGAGGGAGAGAGTTTCAAATTTTGAAAATGTGCAAATGAGTTGAAAATGGAGAAATAAGGATTTTTATATGTGGATATGAGGGAAAGGGGAGAGAGGGGCCGGCCATGGGGGCCCAAGCCCACCCTCAATAATATTTTTTTTTATAAAACAAAAGCCCAAGATGCATAAAAAAATGTCATTTTCTCAATTTTGACATTTTTCTTCAAATTAAAAACCCATGATGACTAAATTCATTTAAATAGAAAGGTTTTACATTTAAAACACTAAAACTTAGTGTTTTATATAAATTGGGTATAAATTAGAGCATTTGGTACTGTATGGGACGTTTCAGATAATTTCTGGTCGGAACCGGACTTTCTAAGCAACTGCCGGAATCTCTTAGAAATTTTTCGACCAAACTAACCTAACTAACTCCTAATCTTATAAATTATCTTCAATAACATTAATACAAACTTAATAAGAGCTAATCTGGGAGTTCGAATTTGACGGCTGTCACATTAATCGGATCGGATCAGATCAGATGACAAAATCCAACATCCAATGGATGATTGGATCGGATATCTACCTAAATCCGTTGGATTTCAACCGATGAACACCCCTACTTATTACATATGCTTTGGATCCGGGCCTAAAGGGTTTCACAATTACTTTTGATTTATATGCATGTATTGTTATGTATATGTCTTTTCGCTGTGTTTTGTGATCCCGTTGAAACCCTACATTTTACAGCCATGCTTATATACTCATTACATCAAAATTGGGTTTTATAAGACATTTAAAATATCTAAGCGTCCTAATATGACACTTTATAGAACCTAAGTTGTAACAACTCCCCAAGCAAAAAACATACCATTCCAACCCAACGCTTACATAACATAAACATAAATGTATATAAGATAATACCAGTTTGTTTACATATAATAAATTAGATCAAAACTATATAACGTGATTGATCTCAAACAAGAGCTGATTTAACAAACTTAAAAAGGTAAGACAAATGTCTATCATATTTTCCCCTTGCCATTATAGTCAGTCTCGCGTTGTCCTGCAAAAATAAATCTTACAACAATTGAGGGTTAGACCGAAAGGTCTAGTGAGTGAATTCCCTCATATAACATTTTACACATTCATAAAATTTTAATAATAAATTCAATCCAGATTTCAGCTATTAAAAGCTGTAAAACTGTCCTGCCATCCATCAGAGATAAATCTACCAATCATCGTGGTTGTCTCACCATCTATTATAAATATCCTGCCAATTATCACGTTTGTCCCGCCATCTTTCACAGTACTCTGCCAACTATCGCGGTTGGCCCGCCATCTATATGTAGGTATCCTGTTAACTATCGCGACTATATCGCCATCTATCACAGGTACCCTGCCAACTATCACGACTAGTCTGCCATCTATTCGCAAGTACCTTATCAACTACCACGGCTTCCCCGCCCTCTAATGCATATACCCCCCCTAATATATGTATATAATGCATAAACATAATAATTTAACATCGGGAAATATTCCCAAAGAATAATAACTGGTTGGACATTCTCATCGGACAGTATATGGCCGAGGACTGCCCTCATAGGACAACACTTGGATGATATATGCCCTCATCGGACAACACTTGGAAAATTTATGCCCTCATCGAACAACACTAGGGCGATGAATACCCTCATCGGTCAACACTTGGACAATGAACACCCTCACCGGTCAACATTTGGGCCAAGAACACCCTCACCAATTAACACTTAGGGGATGAACACTCTCACTGGTCAACACTTGGGCGATGAAAACCCTCACTGGTCAACACTTGGGCGATGAAAACCCTTATCGGATGATGCTTTAGCCGATAGTGTACTCATCGAACAAGGCTTTGGTCGATAAGTTTCCTCATCGGACAAAGCCTTGGTTGATAACTAACCAATCCGGTCAAAGCTTTGAGTGATGACCCAATTTTATCGGACAAGGCTTGGGAGATAACCCAGCCTTATCGGACAAGGCTTCCATCGAGTTCTCAATACATCAACTTTAAGCACATAACATATTTTCTTGTATCAAAACAACCAAAGTAAAAACTTATAACACATAATTTTACCAAAACTAATAAGCACTCACCTTAGACCGATAACTCTGCTTCTTTCTTTTTAAAGCTTGCCAATGATGACCTTTCCAAAAACAAAAACCTTCTAAAGTCTTAAATACTTACCATATGTGGTATGAATAAGGAGGAGGCGGTGCATGATCCTCTTCCCCCTCACCTGAAACCAAAATTTTAAAAATTTCAAAAACCTTCTAAAGTCTTAAATACTTACCATATGTGGTATGAATATTACATAAGTTTATTGGACCAAAAAAATGTGTTATCTAAAAGTGTTGCAATAGATTTATAGGAACACTTTTAAACGTTTTAACAAGCCTTTTAGAACGCTTTTAAAAATAAAGTGTCGTACTTTTTTATTTTATACGACACTATTTGAAAAAAGTGTCCTATATAAAGATAAGTTTATAGGACAATTCTCAAAAGTGTGTTATAAAATACCTAATACGCCACTTTATTTTAAAAAGGATCTTAAAAAACTTGTCGAAACGTCCAAAAACATCTTATTAACCTATTGCAACACTTTTAGATAAAAGATTTATAGTTTGATCCAATAAACTTAAGTCCTATAACATATCTTATTAGAACACTTAAACATTTTAGGTGTCTTATAAATATAATTTCGTTATAGCTACTCTAAAATAACAGGCTCAAACTAACTACTAGAATGTTGACTACTTCACGATAATTAAAAGACACAAATACCCTCTGCAATAACCACAAAACTATAATAGTTTTTGTCCGTCTTTAGGCATTTTCCTTTTCATGAGAGCCCCTTAATTGTTCTTCGTTGTCTTTTTGTTTAACGTTATAAAGTTTAGTCGTTGTCTAACCATCGATCGTCTTTTGCAATATTGGACAAAAACATTTTCTAAACCAATTTTGTTGTAGTTTTAATATCCCAATCGTTTTCAACAAAGTCTTTGATATGATTCATGGTAGGTGACCTTCCTTTTTGTGGTTGCATAGATGGATGGCAGTATCGATGACCTCTTTTGGCAAATATTTTCCTACCAGCGCGGCAAGATTCAATAAAATGATCTAAGCAGTAGACAAAGACTCTAAAATACCCCTATGAATAGCTTAGTAGGCACCTTAAATATTATTTATTTTAATTTTATTGTGCGCATATTATTTGGTTTTAGGCAATTAATTAACATCATATTATATATATATATATATATATACTTTTGTATTTGTACAACCAATATAATTCAACATCAATCGTCCATTTTATTTGATAAATATGTGATTTCATAAAAATTTAGATTATTTCCTAAAAAAAAATTAAATTTTTCGTATACAACCATACTTAATAGTTAATATACGAATATACAAACCGATACTTTATAGGATGCTTTTAATATATCCGGTGTATGTTGTTAATAGTGGATGCCTTTTTTTTAAGTACATAATATTTATATACGACAAATAGAACAAATAAACTCACACACCATTCTCACTTTTGGGAAGGTTTTGAACCCCTAACCTCCTAAGAGATCAAAGACTCACATACCGATAGGTCAAAGACCCTTTAATTGTTTTCTATGGGAACATCTTCTAAATGTTTAAATGATAGTTTAATTAAATTTCTTTTTTACGAAATAGAATGTTTGAGAGATTTTTTAGATTAAAAGTGATTAGGCAGTTAAAACACTAGAGTACATATATAAAAGGAGTAGATTTGTTTTTGATTAATTTTTTGGAGGCATTTTACTAAATGCTTATTTGGTAAGGGCTTATCAGGTAATTTTCTTTACCGGATGAATATGACAACGGTCAAAATTCTTACCCGATAAGATTAATGATAAGGATGGAGGGCCTTACTCGGTAAGTGAGAATGACGACTCTTATCCGGGTAAGTGTCTACCAGGTAAATTGTTACATACAATACCATTTTAATGTACTACAATCTTAACCGGTAAAAATAAGTTATAGTGTTGACTCTTAACGGTAAATGCTTATCGGATAAGCATTTAGGTAAACAACCACTTAATCTTTTCATCTAACGTCTATTTTAAGTTTGAGACCGTCATGCTAGGAATAAATATAGAAACATAATTTCATGAAAATCATTATTAGTGTGAAGGGGCTATTGGTCTAACGATATCTGATTATCGAATCGTTTACCCGTCCATAAATTTTATATACATCAAAACTTAGAGGTCAACATATGTAGTTGATTAGTAAATTGCTCTATGGCAGCTATTTAAAAGGTCAAATTGTAGGCTACAATATTAATTTATTACCATCACGAACCAACTGGACAACGCTCTTGGCCTATAAATATGTTCATATATTCCATAAACCAAGTAAAACCATTGAGAGATATTGAAATGGGTTCAATTGGTAATCTAGGGTTAGCCTTTTTCCTACTAACTCTATTTTGGAATGGTTCGACGGCTCAATCAGGGTGCACCAATGTACTCATACGAATGGCTCCATGCCTCAACTATGTTACGGGAAGTTCCAAAACTCCCTCTTCTTCCTGTTGTTCATCTCTGGCTAATGTTGTTAAATCACAGCCACAGTGCCTTTGCACCGCCCTCGATGGCGGCACTATGGCCGCACTTGGAATCAATATCAACAAAACCACTGCGTTAGCACTTCCCGGTGCTTGTAAGGTGAAGACTCCGCCTGTGAGCCGATGTGATGGTATAACAACTAATCTTGTGTTTATATGTTGATAATATTGCTCTTATTTAGTACCAACACTATAACAAAATTGGGGTTTATAGGAACTTAAAAGTGTCCAATTGCCATAATACACTATTTTTTGTGATTTAGGTTTACGAGAGTAATTAATAAAACATTTTATCTAAAAGTATTACAACAAGTTTATAAAACACTCATGGACAATTTAACAAGTTATTAAGAACATTTTTAAAATAAAGTATCGTATTAGATAGATTCCAAATGTCTCAACATCGATCCCAACTTATTGTAGTTTTTAGATAGTACACTTTATTGTTTTGTTTTATAAACTTAAGTCCAATAAACAAATTTATTACCATACTTTGACATTTATAACGTTCTATAAACCCGATTTTAATGTAGTTGAATTATGTATCCCCCAATCTAAATATGGTTCCTGATAAATTCAGCTGCAAATAATGCACCAATAATGGCTCCAGCTAAATCTCCAGACGATAAATCTTCAAATGGACCTTTCCCAGCCCCAACATTCGCCTAAGGTATGAACTCAGCATGTAGTCACTACCACAAAATGGTGTTTAGGACTTACGTGCATCCTATTAGAATACTTAAGAGGGAACTTTTTTGTTCATCCTAAAGTTACAATAATTTGGTAGGACACTTACAATATATCATCTTAGGGTCCGTTTACCAAACACTTGTCCGGTAAAATTTAACACTATCATTTATTTACCGGATAAGATTTTAGTCCACCAAAACGGTATTGTATGCAACAATTTACCCGGTAAGCACTTACCGTGGTAAAAGTCGTCGCCTTTACTCCCGGGTAAGACTTTTGGTCCTTATCTCGCCCTTACGATATTCATCCGGCAAGGTAAAATGACTTGGTGTTCACTTACCCGACCTTAGGGTCTGTTTACCGGGTAAAAGTGCTTACTGAATGTCAACGTGGGCATGACAAGGATAAATGATCTTACCCGGTAACAACATAGTAAGGACCGATAATCTTACCTGTTAAAAGACTTGTACCGGTAAACGCTTACCAAGTGAAAGATGCTTACCACGAATCTATTTCGATAGTCGAGCATGTTACCTGATATTGCATTGCATGTAAACTCTTTCAGCCGCTAAGAGTTTGTTTAATCTTTTTACTTATATGTGAAAGCCGAATATATAAGGAACTTTTTAGAAGTGACACTTAAGAAGGTTAATTGGATGATTTATTTTTTATGTCTTGGTAGGTTTCCAACTTGGTCAATAAAATTTGTCAGGTTGCCTAACTTTGCCCAGCAACGTGTTTAATTAGATATAGATCACCACGGACCATTGACATCATAAACGACAATTTTTTTTGTAATATTGCACTATAGCAAAAATGATTTTATAGGACGCTTGGAATGTTTAAATGTCCAACATAATATTTTATAAAACTTAAGTTTATAGAATCAAACTATAAAACGTCCTACCGACAAATATAGGACACTCTTGGATGTTTAATCAAGTTTTTATGATACATTTAAAATATAGTTTATATGAAACTTTTGATAAGTGTGTGCTATAAGCCCGTCTTTTTGAAATATACTTGTGTTTATAAGTCGCTTTTTCAAACAGCGTCATATAAAATAGCTAATACAACACTTTATTTCAAAAACGTTTTAAAAAACTTGTTGAAACGCCTAAGAAAATGGTGCGTGCAGGGTCCAAACAAGATGAGGCAAATGGTGCAAGGTTGCCATAAGAAAAAGGGATCACATGGTCGTATCTAGCATTATATGGTTGTGTTGGTTTCTTAAGTCGGATCTCTAAGCTACTTTAAAGTTACTCCTTTGGATATCTACTATCAACAATAAACCATTTGTATGCAATTACTCGTTATTTGTTATTTTCATCTCATGTTTTCTACGGGCATGTATCGATTTCAGTGTTGTAATCCATGTACCTTTCGTATTGTGAAATTTGGTTCCATTTTAAACAATTAATCTTCATATATGACGGTGGTCAAGACCAACAAATAATATATAAAGACCTAATTCACTTCTTGGCAGTATAAATTGCAAGAGTGATAAGTAGGGTCAAGTTCATACAGATTGGTTGTAAAATGTATTTGACTTGTACGCTTTATGAACACTAAACATATATATGAGTAAAATTAAACCACAGGAAGTCTAAATAAGTAGAATCCGACATTGTGTAACCAAAGCAAAACCTATTCATGGGTTCCAATCATTGATGAACTAAACATGTGACATACATAACTAAACTATATCTAGCCGATAACAAGCTTATTGACCTATTTCAACAAGCGTAGCATACAATGATATGATGCGTAACAAACTCTTCAATCAAACCTTAACACACAGATTGATTCAGATAAGCTCTTAATTCCTAGATGAGGGATTCAAAATAGATTAACACACACACAAACTCGGTTAACCTATTTTATGGTTTTATTAAATCCCTTAACATTGATCGTCTTTGGAAATGAGCCTATCAGATACGCCCACATTTAGCTCACTGACTAACATCGGCAATGACTTAATGATTAATATGAATCAAGTAAGGATCCTTGACAACCACAGCAGTTTGTGAGTTCAAGTTAAAACAATGGAACAATATATCAATAAATAGAATGTTGGCTCAATAAGATAATGCACAAACTCTCACAATTATTATGGTAACCATTGGTGTCTTGGTTAATTAGATAGGGAAGTGTTTGGCTTAGCTAATAACGTGGTTAGTGGAAGGATGAAAAATGACTAAAATAGGTATGCAAATAAGGCTCTAACGTAAGTGAAGAAGCTATATAGCTAAAGTGAAAATCACAAAAAAGATGACCTTAGCTATATAACGTAAGGCTCTAACTTAAATGAAGAAGCTATATAGCTAACGTATGCAAATAATAGAAGACTACTCTTAAATATATAGCAGATAGCATAGGGGATACAGTAAACACCCTTATATGTATGTATGTATGATCAAGTGACAGTATGACAATTAAGAGAACCATTGAGATAACAAGAAGAAGCTTAATTAACGCAAGACAGAAAACAAAAATATTCCAACAAAGATGATGAAGAAGAAAATAACAGGAAATTGAATTACATGTTGGCTCCTATGGAGTGTCTTTCGCTAAACGTATTAGACACAGAATCCAATATACCTCACACCACACATGCTTCTTCTCTACTCAAGGGTGGGTCCTTGGAGTGTCTTATGAATTAGTTAATACGACATTTTTTTTTTATAAAAATGTCTACAAAATTTGTTACGTTGTCCAAAACATCCGAGAAACTTGTTACAATAAACATTATTATTTGGTCCTAATATAAAAATGTCTAATAAACTCAATTTTAAGTTAGTGGGATGACATAATATTTGTTTCTACAAATCCAAAGTTTTCAAAACTCATGCATAATCATTTTGAAATGAGCATCATGGGAGAGTATATCAATGAAACTATCTGCTTTTAATCTGAGAATCAGTGCTCTTAAGAGAAGGAGGATTTGACTAGGCCAACGTTAATATAATGAGCATCTTTCATGGATTCTACCACTACTTCAATTTGGATTATGCTTGGAACGATCTGAAGCTATACTAAGGGCCGTTTATCAACTCTTACCAGGTAAACGCTGTCTGGGTAAGAGTGCTGACCCGAGTAAGTGTTGTCCCGATAAATGCTGTTCTGGGTAAGAGTGTTTACCAAATGTTTTTGGTAAGTGCTTACCAACAACATAATGACCATTATAACCCTATTTGTAATTATATGCTGAATAATATATGATTATTTTTGTTATTAATAGTTTAATGGAAGGAAAAAAAAAACAAAATGCATACTTCAAATAAATGCTTACCAATAAAAATAATACCATTTTGCTATTTTTCATATGATTAACTGTCAAATAAGATAACAAAATACAATTTTCATACTTCAAATTAAATAGAAAAATATATTAGTAGTCGTTCATACTTAAATATAAACGGGATATGAAACGTTAATACCAAAATAAATTGTTTGTTTTTCATCCTAGACAATAAAAATTAATTTGAAGCATTTGAAAACAGTTGAGTTGCAATCTGATCCTGCAGATTATCCATTGTCTTGAGAAGCCCCCCATTGTACTTCAACGACTTCTTCTTCAATGCCTCCTCCATGTTGCTCTTCCGCAGTAAACATGACGTTCTCATCATATTTTGCATAAACAGTTTATCTTGGATATTACATCTTCTTATAAAATTATGGATTGCTAAACAAGCAACTACTACCTCTATTTGTTTTGAATAAGGATAATAAGTCATTTACTTCAGAATTGAGAATCTTGCTTTGAAGACGCCATATGCACGTTCAATAACGTTTCTAAGTTGTGCATGCGCATGGTTGAATTTTTCTTCTTTAGTTACCACACGTCGGCGTCGAAAAGCAGCTAACTAATACCGTGTATTATGATATGGAGTCAAAAATCCATGGGTATTCGGGTATACAACATCACAGAGATAATACTTATCTGCATTTACAAATATAATTAAAAGAAGACAGAAAAATAATAATATTTCACTATTATAAAAAGGATGATACATACTTGGTGGAAGAAATGGAAATCTCGAATTTGGGTCAAATACAACTTCTATCAAAACTCTAGCATCATGTGCAAAGCCTTCCTCTTCCTCTTCCTCTATATCTTGCTTGTTGATTTATGGGCACAACTGTATGTATCAAAGTTCCATCTAGTGCGCCCCCTGTAAGAAAACCATAAGTTATATGTAACAATATTATAAGAACTTCTCATGTTTTACAATTTATCAAAACAATTAACATACCGAAAATATTTCTTTGAGGTTTCTGACTCTCTCTGACATATTCAAAGTTCCATCAAAGGATGTTGATCTTACGACTTCTCTTGCGAATTCCATCATTCCATTTAGCACTTCATGAAAACATATATGAATAGTTCGTGTGGAATGTTGAAATCTCCATTTAACCATTCTAAAACATTCATTATGACCAATAATAGTTATAAACACTTCAACACTTATACGACTACTGGATTGCAACCAATTGTTTTGTTTTAGAATGGTTACATAAGAGTATATAAGCATCACGAGATTGACGCATCAATTCATGACATTGTGTATTAGACCTACGTAATAATTCTTGTGTGTACGAATATCCGGTCAAATTTGAATTGTTATCTCTTATTCTTTCTCTTCTTTCTATTCTTGCTTCATCTCTTCTTCTCAAATACCAACATGCAATCACCACAACATCATTAATTGATTACGATTCATATAACCTAGCAAATACGAAATACAAAAAACATCGTATTATGTTTCATACATGACATAGATCTTTAACATACAATTTGAACAACAAAAACATCAAGTTAAACAATCAACACTAAAGAGTGACATAATATCAAAATGAACATATTAAAGTTCCAAAACTCGTCCATACAAAACACAAAAAAATGATAAAAGTTCCATACTCGTCCATACAAACATCCAAAAGTGACGAAATTTCATACTTGTTCATACAACGTCGGTCTAAATACCGCATCAATATCAAACATCACCTGCTTACTTTAAGTTAAGTTGACATGCCGTAAAGTTAACCCATGACTCACACCTCTCGTCCTTCAAACGTAGCCAAATTCTCCTATAAACCATATTTTGGCTAAAAAGAAAAAAGTGTGATGTCGTACAATGGGCTATCTTCCCAACCAAGTTTCTCAAATTTCGACATACAAGCATCCATATCCCCGTCCTCTGATGGTTTGTCAAAAATGGTTTTCACATGTGTCACCACATGAGCCAACTCATCTTCCCTTACCAATGATTGATTAGCTTTTCGTTTTCTAGTTTAAAAACGAGAGGAACATTCTTGTGTCAAGCTAGATGGTCCTTGAGTTGAATTAGGTGGTCCTTGAGCTGAAACAGGAGGCATTTGATCTGAAATAGAAGGTGCTTGTGTGGTATCCAATCCTTGATCATCAACAACTAAAGGCGGGTTAAAAACATTAGCAGCATGCGAAGGATTATGAGAATTAGACCAAGGATCCCAAGTCACCATACACGTGGCCGCCACTCCATCAAAAATTTGCATACAAACATTAGGGAAAAGTAGTGGTGCATTCCTCAACTTGTCAGCATATTTACTCAACTGTATATAAAAAAAGTAAAAACATATAACTAAAAGAAAAATATAAAGAGATTAAATTAGGAAACCAGAAAATGAATTGACCTTTGCCTCTGCCTTCCACTCCTTTTTAGATACATTGCCCGTTTTATTCCTTAGTCTAGATCATACAACGTATTTCCCTCGTAAATAATCATAGTGATTCTTCATTTGTCTTTGATTGACAATGAAGTTGTGAGTTCTTTTTAATGTTTCTGCTATATTGTTCCATGAGTGCATCTTAAGGCTACCGCCTTGCATTCCATTCATGTACATCTCTTGTAGACAACACTCAAAGAAGATTTTTACTACATTCTCTTTCCAACTAACCATCGATTTTTGGGGTTCCACTGATTCATCATACGATTCCATACCTATGTCAAAAAGATCCAAACAATTCAAGGTCTTCATTATCCATCATGTTTTCAATAACAAAGCGTACAAAAGCAAAAACACATACAAAAAACCAAGAAATATTGACGATAATACCTAGAATTTTAAAGTATCCACGTCAATAATTAATAAAGAAACACCATAAACTATTGAGATCACTAGAATAAATTCCATCAAATAGGTGCTAATCAAAATCCAACAAAAATTGACAGATTTGCGAGGCTGTGGAGTTTCGACCATATCTCACTCGTTCGAGCTTTGTTTAAGGAGATTCAAGATGTTTTGGAAATCCAACAGACAGGCTTACAACTTTCTTGTTTTGAATTTTCGCAAATACAAGTTGAATCTAAGTCAAAATTAGCATTGAACTCGAGAGAAGGGTGTTGGACAAGTGAATGGGTTTGAACTTGTGAC